CCTGGCAGTGCTTGAGAGACCACGTGGTAGCAGGGATTGAACCTGGGTCTCCCACATGCACAGCATGTGCTCAGCCTGTTGAATCATCTCCCTGGCCCATAAACACTCAGTTTTTAACTCAATTGATGACCACATAGGTGACTACTACTCTATTAATGAACTCTAGAGTTAAAAATAAAAGAAGCTGGAATGAGGGGTCTTTGCATAAGAGTTCTTGCTTCTGTCTGTACCTCTAGTTTCCTTAATGTACACATCTGGTTTCTTGATGTCCATTTCTCAGTTGCAGTGCTACCTCCTCAGGTAGTTCATCCCTTAATCTGTAATCTAAATTCTTCACACAGACACTCCCTAGTACATTGCCCCATTATAATTCTCTGCAGAGCACTTATTACCACGTGAACATTTCTTGATTATATTTTATTATCTATCTCCCATAAAAGCAGATTATACTGACACAAGAATAAAGTTTTCCTAAGAGTAGGGACATTATTTGTCTTTTTTCATTGTAGCTGTTGGGAGGTCAGCACATACTAGTAGAGATATTTTGTTTTTGGGGATACACCCAGCAATGCTCAGGGGATACTCCTGGCTCTGTACTTAGGGATCACTCCCGGCAGGCTTGGGAGACCATATGGGATTCTGGGAATCAAAACCTGGGTTGACTGTGTGCAAGGCAAGTGCCTTACCTGCTGTACTATCTACAGCTCCACAGAATATTGAGATTTTTTAAAATCAAAAATTACATAACAAATTGTTGCATGTGACTTATGTGAAGTGGGGAGGTGGGTGAGATGTGGCAGCCTGAAAATGGAGGTTCCCTCTCTACCCACCTCGGCCACTCAGAGACCGGTGGAAGTTCCTGAGGAAGTTTTAGACTGATGAGAGTCTGCTAGGAGCTAGTGTCTCACTAATCCCATGAGGCAGCTGTCAAATTGTGTCTCAAGTTCACATGCTCTGCATGGGAACTGGTCCCCAGCACCTGTGTTCTTAGGCAGGTGTGGAATTGGGCCGGAATAAGGAATTGTTCTTTTTTTTTTTCCTTTTTGGGTCACACCCGGTGATGCAGAGAATAGAGGTTACTCCTGGTTCATGCAGTCAGGAATTACTCCTGGTGGTGCTTGGGGGATCATATGGGATGCTGGGAATCGAACCTGGATCGGCCACGTGCAAGGTAAATGCCCTACCCGCTGTGCTGTTGCTCCAGCCCCAGGAATTGCTCTTTGTGGGAAAGGAAAGTCAGTCCTAAACTCTGCCCAGGTTTTCCAGGAACATCACTTTCCTCTCACAGAAAGCAATTTCAGCAAGGAGACAAATAGTGAAGTACACTTATTTGGCAAATGAGGGGAGAGAGTTTCTCACTCGAGAGAGAGTGTGGATCTCTCCAGAGTGGAGAGAGTCAAGAGCACATCCTAAAAAGAGCCGTAGGGAGTTGCAAGATGGAGAATGCACGCCACAAAGTAAGAAAGCCCATGTTTCAGGCGGAGAGGTGGGCATCTTTTCCAGAAAGAACAAGCATGAGCCTTTCCCTCTGTATACCAACTTGGCAGAGGAAAAGCTGTACATCTCTTTGAATTTCCCCCTGAGATGTGGACTTGTTTACTCTCGGCCTCTGACCCACATCTGCCTGCACCTCTGCCTGGGGGGTGTACTTTGTGTGCTTTCTACTCTGGAGAAATCTGTGTTCTCTCTTGAGTACACACATCTCTTTCTCTCCTTTACTTCCCAAATAAAGTTGTTTTACTTCTCTATTCTTTGTCTCCTCCTGAAATTCTTATGTGTGAGTGAAGGTAAATTACTGACCTGAAAAGTCTGGTTAGGATTTAGGACTTTCTTTCCTGCAAAGAGCAATTTTTCCCTGCAATCTGGTTCTGCAGCTCCCTGAGAAATCAGGAGGCAGGGGGCATTTCCCACGCCTTGCAGAACAAATGGAGTCCAGGTGTGGTTTAACATCTCATCGGGATACTGCGCAAGTGCTCAGTAAAGACCCTCATCAGTGTGTAGAGAGAGAAGCAATGCACCCCCTTCTTAAGGGTGGTTGCCTCTTTTACCCACTTCACATAAGCCACCCACACAGGGACCCTACTCCTGGACTCCCACTCACAACACTCTGAAGAGAACATCTAGATTTCAAAGGAATCTATGAAATTTGCATTGGAAACATAGGTAACACATTAACTTCTTTTGGGGGGCCATGCCTGGCAATGCTCAAGACTCACTCTTGGTTCTACTTTCAAGGATCATTTCTGGTGGGCTCAGAGGATCATGTGGGTAGCTGAGGACCAAATCTGGTTGGCTACATGCAAGACAGCCATCCTATTTACCTCCAGCCCCTCTTTTTTTGTTTGTGCTTTTGGCTTTTGGGCCACAACCTGTGATGGGTTGGCTGGTGTGCAAGGCAAACACTCTATGTACTATACTATCACTCTGGCCCAAGCAGCCCCTCATCTTAAGGTAGCTTTTGTTAAGAGAATTGACTGGAAAACAAGGATGTGTGAGGCAGAGAGTAACAATCAAATGAAGGTATTATGAATCCAGTCTAGGGAATACATTCAACTTATCTTCGGTAATATAAATTTATTGCAGATCAAGGTCACAGGACCTTATTTCCTCCCTAGCAATACTGTCACATGGAGTCCCCGAAAGTCAGCTTCAACTGTCACAAATCCTCAACTAGGAAGTGAGAAAATAGCTTAACATTTTAGCTGTCTGGTTTCTTTGTTTTAGCTGCCATAGCCTCATCCCAGGAGAATATGATGACAAAAGTGATCACAGTTGCAAATCTTGAGAAGCAGGCTTGGAAACCCACGAAGAGGCTCAGACTCTGTGTTGCTGGGGGAGTCCAAACTGACCCCAAAGGTGAGAGCTTACCGACTGCTTGGAACCTTGGTCTGGAAGCCGTAGATCCACTGTGAAGAAAGTATGGTTGACTGAGTCTTGGTCTATGCCTTTGTAAAATCACCTTTTACCACTAGTTTGAATTCTAGGTCATTTAAGAGGGTGGTGGGCAGCTATTTGTGCTTCAGGTTGTCTCTGAGTCAGATAAAAAGAGATGGCTGGGGGTTCCTGGGGTACGGCTGGCTGGCCTGCATGTGCTTCTCCACAGTTAGACCCTCACTTACGCCTCTGTTCTTCTCAGAGGCCCCTGCAAGCAGAAGGAAAAACACCTTTCCAAGGGACAAAGCGAGGGGGCATAGTAAGTCACAAACACCTCACTGAGAGTGAGCTAGGCTTTATCCTCTAGGCCAAGAAAGAAGTACCATTTCACTGTCATAAGTCACGGGGCTTGCTTAGGGTCCAAACTCCTCAGCACTGCAGTCTCAGGGACTGCCACTGACCCTTGACCCTCAGATAGGAGCAGCAGACAATATGAACAAGGCCAGACTCACCTGTGCGGCAGAGGCTTGACCCAGGGGCCTACCCTACACCTCTATTCTGCCTTTGTACACATCTGGGAGCCAAGCTGGCAACAAACCCTGTTAATAATCTAGGGGGACCTGATTCCCTTGCATACAAGCCCTAACCGGTATCTCTCAGATGGCCACTTCTGAGACCTGCACGGTTCTGAGATCCCTGCAATGTGACTTCTGTACACATCTTTCGGTCACTCTCACTCCCATTTTTATCCAGTTTCCTAAGAACATCTTGCAAATAAATTACCTGCACCCAAGGCCTTTCCTCCGACTCTGCTTTAGGTGGTTATTCTCAGTAGGTACATATGATCTGGAGGCTGAATTTTCCTCTATGATATACCAGTTTGCAGGAAAATGGTCCCTAGTAAAACATTTGGGATAGTGGTCAACATCTGAAATGCTCCAGAGTAACCCCGGGTGGTGCTCATGAACCATAAGCTGTACTGGGGCCTGAGCTAGGGTTGGCTGCATGCACATGCTTAAGAATTTTACCTTCTGCACTCTCTGGCCCCAGTAAGACCTCTATTTCCTTTCTGTTGTCTTTTTGGGTCTCATTTGGTGGTAGTTGGGGAGAACATGCAGTATATGTATCAAAAGTGGAGTTATTGGATGTCTTTTTGAACCATCTCCCTGGTCTTACTGTTCCTTATTCTGTTCTTGTGGTCACACCCAGCTGTGTTCAGAGCTTACTCCTGGCAGTGCTTAAACCATATGCAGTGCGAGGTACTGAACTAGGGTCTGCAATGTGCAAGACAAGCACTTTAACCCTATACTATCTCTCTGACCTTGTACAATTTTCATTTTACCATGTTTCCCTGCATAATCAACCCACTCTGCTTTAAATACCAGCACAGTGGGTAGGGCACTTGTCTTCAGTCCCTAGCATCCCATATGATCCCCAGAGCACTGTCAGGAGTGATCTTTGAGCCCAGAGCCAGGAGTAACCCTTGAGCATCACTGGGTGTCGTCTCCTTGCCAAAAATAATTAAATACCAACTTTTTAAAAAGTTTCACATAATGATTGCACTTCACTATGTATTTTTGTTTGTTTTTTGGGTCACACCTGGCAGTACTCAAAGAGCTTATGCTTCTATTCTCAAAGCTAACTCCTGGAAGTGCTCAGGGGACCTCTCTCTGCTGCTGGGAATTGGTCAAGTGCATCCAAGGCAAGAGCCGTAACCCTGTACTATCTCTCTGGACCCAGCATCACACTTTTTCTGCAAAAAAGTCTGGCATAAAATCTTGAACAATTGTGTAGTGAAATACAACTATGTATTTTTGGCCGCTCTTGACAGTTGCTCAGGGGGCCATAAGATACTAGAGATCAACCCTGGCCTCCTGCACACAGATCATGTGTTCAGTATTTTGTGCTATCTCTCTCATACCATTATGAGTTTTTTGGGCCACACCCCGCAGTGTTCAGGGGACCTTGCAGTGCCTGGTGCCAGGGATCAAATCTCCCACACACAAAGCACGCACTCTAGTCGTCTGAACTCTCTCTCCAGACCTATGGTAGCTTTTCCAACCCATAAGTTATTTAAATAAACATGTCACAAATACTAATAATGAACAGTTCTATATCTCATTAGCAACATTTTGTGGGAAGGCAAACTTTATTTGAAAGCAACCCGAGAGACGTCAGGGGTCAGGCCCTACAACTGGCTGGCAGAGGCACGGTCACAGGGCTCTGAAGTCTTAGCCGAGTCCTGTCACTTTCTGCTGGGTGCCCAATCCCTGGCAGTCTCCTCTTCAGGGTGAAACAAAAAATATGTGTTCTTAAAGATGCTCATGACATCCGTTATTCAAACACCCTATTTCAGGAAAGAGGACACCCAGAGTCAACTTACGGACGGAATATGTTTAGTTGTTAAAATAAATATTTCTGTCAAAAATATGTAGCTTTCTTCACATTTTAAAATGAGCCACAGAGGTTTCATGTGTATTTGACGCAGCTGATTGGTAAAGATCCTATCTCCACTTCATAGGAACTGAATTGTATTCCATGACTCCTCACAGCTATCAACTGGAACGTTATTCCATAGCTTTTGCTGTGCTGGCTGGGCTGGCATCTGCGATGGTAGCCAAATAAATGAGATTTCTATGTAACACGTGCTGGTACCTATGGGTGAGAAAATAGCCAAAATTGATTTTTATTGAGCACGCATGATGAACTAGACAAAAAAAAAAATCAATTCTAGAAGAATGGTTGGTTCAGTGTTATCAACTGATGATAGAAGGTTGATAGTGCCATCAACCTTCTTGTTTAACACTTGAGGTCAATAAATCTAGAATAGAATCTGTTCTCCACTAATTACTTCCAGAGCTATCTCTTCAAGTCAACACTTCTCGCTGGACAACTGTATTGGAACAATATTCTAAATGGTCTCCCAGCACCCCTCTAAAGTAGTTTGAGTGAAGACTGTACAGTTTAGTCAAGATCATGCCATGCCTCTATTTCAAACCCTCTGATCTCCCATCTCATGAATAAAGCTGAGCCTTTCTCATAATCAGTGCCTCTGGTCACCTAATTTCATCTCTTAACACTTTCTCTTTGCCCAGTCAATTATAGTCACATTGGTCTCCTTGTAGTGACTGCTGGGGGCTTTCCCACCTAATAGTCATAGAGCCCAACTCTCTGGCTCTCTTCTCACCTCAGGCATCACTCACAGGCATCACTCACAACTCATATCAGAGATAATGTTGCATAAAACAGAAACTCTCTGTCCTCTTATCCAGGTTTATTTTTATCACAAGCACTTGTGTGCTAATTGTAGGATTATCCCTCTAGGTCATTCTTTCCCAAAGTGGGTGATACTGTCCCCACTGAGGTGAAAGAGACCTCAGGTGCAATCTGGCATGCTTTGTCTTAAAAAAAAGTAAATATCTAGATGTGAAGGTGGGGAGGACTAACACTAGCAAGAATTTTTTTTTTTAACTTTTATTTTTATATACACCCTGGCTTTCCCCTCCAATTCTCCCCAAAGGAGCTAACAGGCCAAGTAAACGTGGAAACTACTGCTCTAAATTCTAGTTTACTTCATTAAGCACAGTGAGAACAAAGCTTTACCTACTTGGGTAATGATTTTCCAATAGTTGAAACTGTTTGGTACTTAGTATTTATCATAAAATATTTGTTAAGCAGACTTTTGATTGTTTTGGGGCCATACTTGGTGGTGCCCACGGGCTATTTTTGGTCTCGTGCTCTGGACTAATCCCTGACCTGCTCAGGGAACTATATGTGTTGAACCAAGTGCCTTATCTCTTTTGATTTTTTGTTTTTGGGCCACACCTGGTGGTGCTCCGGGTTTACTCCTGGCTCTGTGCTCAAGGACCACACCTGGTGGAGTTCAGGAGACATATGAAATAATGGGGATGGAGCCCAGGTCTGCTATATGCAAGATAAGCACCCTGCCTGCCAGACTATCTTTCTGACCCCAGGCAAGTGCTGAATTTATCTCTGTACTATTTCTCCAGTCCTTTGTTGAACCAACTTTAAAGAAAGATGAGAACCAGGGAAAGGACTCAAAGGGCTAGAGTGCATGGCTTGCATGCGGAAGTCCAGGGTCTGTCCTGATATAACAATTATTCTCACTCAGGGAAGTGCACCAGAGTAGGAATCAGGAAACATGATCTGTGAGAGAAGCTCCACTAGCTCACAGTTGATAACTTCATACTCATAGGCTGAAATTCACTGCACCAAATGGAATGTGTTACAAATATTTTCCAAGTGAAAAAATGATGTTTATGATAAACTGAAATAAAAATTTTCAAATGTCCAAGTCAAATTGCCAAATGTCAGAGCTAAAAAGATGGACTATCTCTATTCTATTGAGGGGAAGGATTATAGGTTAAGTGAATTGAAAAAAAAAAACAACAAACAAACCTTGGTGGGGAGGTTCTCAAGCAAGTTTAGGGGACCCGGGACTACTCCAGTGACTGGCAAGAGGGTTCTCCCCTACCAACAGTGGTAGGGGTCAGACTGGTTATTCCAGGTGTGCTGAAGGTGAGGCATGAGGTATGAGGACCCCAACCTAGGGCCTAGTCCATAGACATGCAATTCAGCCCTATGAGTTAGCTCCTCCACTCCTTAAACAAGTCTTTGGTACAATAAAATAAATATTCTTCTATAATAAAGGGAGTGGGCTGGAACGATAGCACAGCGGGTAGGGCGTTCACCTTACAAGCGGCCAACATGACCGACCCGAGTTTGATTCCTCCGCCCCTCTCGGAGAGCCCGGCAAGCTACCGAGAGTACTCGATATGCCAGACACAGTAACAACAGTCTCCAATGGAGACGTTACTGGGCCCGCTCGAGCAAATCGACGATCAACGGGAGGGCCTTTACCTTTTACCTTAATAAAGGGAGCATACTTCCTGGACCACATAGAGAAAAGGGAATGTCTCATTCTCTCTTTTTCGCACATGGCTAGGGAGTATATTAATTTATAATTAATTAATTTAATACAATTATATTTATATTAATTTATTGTGCGGTATCTATGGTATCTATGGTTGACCACTCTCTGCACACACGAAGGTACCGGCAGAGGAACAAAGGCACACGGATCCCGGGGCTGAGATCTCCAAGCCTACTTGGATCGGGGCTGAGCACCCTCCACCCAGATCCTCCAAATTCCAGTAGGCGGGGGTCACACCCACCAACTGGGGGTCACACCCACCAACTGGCCCCCTGGCGCCGTGTAATCCCATCAACAGCCAAGACTCAGAGACTATAAAACCCAGCTCCCGGACATCTTCTCATGACATCGTATCATCTCATTCCTACTTTGGACCAACTGGCAGGCTACCAAATGTAACCTGCCCACATGGCAGAGTCTGGCAAACTCCCCGTGGCGTACCCAATATGCCAAATACCAGTAAAAATGAAGGGTCTCATTCTCCTAACTCTGAAAGAGCCTTGAATATGGCACTTTAAAAAAAAATCTCAGGGCTAGGATGAAGGAGACATTAATGGGACCTGCTCAAGGCAATCGACAAGTAACAGGATGTTTGTGATTGTTGTGATCTATGGCTGACTTAGAAATCTTCTGTTGGTCTTTGTGTTACAGACTGACCACAGATTAGACGACCTAATCCCCTCACTTATAAGACCTTCCAGGGCTTATACTGAGAGCAATCACTGTTTTCCCATCCCATACTAGTTTAACCCACCCCAGTATAATCTGACATGGCCTGGCAATGGTGTAGTTAAATTCTGTTTTGTTTTTCGGTCTCCCCAAACCCTGCTTTGGGCTACTCCCAGAGACACTCGGTTCAGTCTTTTATACTACCCAGAATTTAAGTTTGTAACGAGGTTTCACAACACATTGGCAGGTATGGGAAGGGCTGGTAAGTGAACTCTGAGTCTCTACTGGCATCCATCACTCAAGTCTCTTAGATCCAGACGGCTGCATCACCACACTGGCTTCCTCCCACTCGTCAGGGGAAGGAACTTACTGAACACACTCATTCGCCCGTCCCTTGTTCTGATATTCCACGATACAACGGATCAGCTGGTCATTCTCTTCCAGGAGCTGCAAGATGGAACAAAGGGTCAGTGCAATGAGACAGGGAGCACAGCACCACCCTCCCACCCACCCCCTTCTCCCAAGTCAGGCTACTTAGTTCCGGCGTCTTTGCAGACTTCCCGTCCGTCATTCTACCGACTCACACTAGTCAACACCTGCACCCACCTGGCTCTAAGCCACCGTGCCCGGCGGCTTCCTGCACCCTGCCAGTTCTCCGGGATATCGACCAAGGGTCGCCTCTCCGCTCGCGCTGGCACTCACCCGCTGGATAGTCTCCTGGTTGACTTCCGCTTTGCCTCTCATCCAGTCCGGTACGAAGGCCACCGACATCCCGGGAAGCCAGGAAAGAGCCCAGCCCTTGTCCCCTTGAGCCCCAGGGCGCCACGTCCGGAGCCCAGCAGCTGCTGCGAGACGCGCCCCCGCCTCAGCAGGGCCCACGGTAGGCGCTGATTGGATCCTCAGTTTGGAGGGCGGAGCACAGGAAGAACGTCCTTTGCGATTGGGCGCGGAAGCGCTAAGCTCGGCGTCCTCTATAGGCCCCGCCTCTAGGATGCAGGGGGACCTTTTGCGCTTGCGCAGCCGGGAACGCCAACCTCGTGGGCGTGGCTGGTGTCAGGACGATCCCGCCCTTTCAGGCCGTGTGTGTAGGTATTCCGGGTGGAGTTTGTGGCCCAGGATAAAGCGATAATCAAGACTGGAGCGCGGATATCTGGCTTCAAGTCTCCTTTGACAGCACTCGGGTGTCTCCATGTCCGTGCGTGGGGTCGGAACCCTGGGCACTGCCAAGCCGAATCCTGCAGGACCAAGAAAGACATAATCAGTTTTGCTTAGGGAAAAACTCACATATATATCTATTTGTCCTTTAGGGAATAATACTGTTTATGAGGCTTACAACCCTAAAAAGCACCATATTTTCTCCATTTTACAGTTAAACAAGGGGGAGAGAGAGAGAGAGAGAGAGAGACAGAGACAGAGACAGAGAAGGAGAACAGTTGGGTAGTGCTTGCCTTATAGCAGCTGGCCTCACTTCGGATCCTGGCATCCCATTTGGTCCCCAAGGCCTCCAGGAGAGATCCAGGAATGCAGAGCCAGGAGTAAACTCAGAGCTAGGTGTGGCCAGATCTACCTCCCCACCTCCCACCCTAAAACAAACAAACAAACAAACAAACAAACGGCTAAGTAACCTGCCAAAGATCCAATAGCTAATAAGGGCAAAACCAGTACCTGAGCACAGGCAGTCTGGTTTTAGAACTCTCTACTATTAGCCCACACCACACCATCCTGCAGAGACAATTAGCTGCCAGGAAGAGAAGCCCAGCTTCCTAAACTAGGCTATATAGTGCACTGTCCTGTTGTTCATCAATTTGCTCAAGTGGGCACCAGTGACATCTCACAACAATTCTGAGACTTGTTGTTACTGTTTTTTGGCATATCGAATGCGTCACGGGGAGCTTGCCAGGCTTTGCCATGTGGGCGAGATACTCTTGGTAGCTTGCCAAGAGGGGCAGAAAACCAAGACCTGGGAGAGGCTGTCTTCCTTCTTGTGCAGCCCACCCACAATGGATGTGGGAACAGATTAGTTTTCCATGAAACATGGAGTAAACAGTGGTCACTTCACTTAGGTGGGTGATCTTGGTAGCCTTATCATTCAAAATGGGCTTGGGGGGGCAATTCTTCCTCCTTGAGCTTCATTTCCCTGCACGGTGACCGTGATCCTGGTCAGGGTCATCTGTCTTGTGGCATCTGTCTCCTTTCACACCCCTCAATGCAACTTTGTAAGGAGACAATTTTCATCCATTTCCCAGGGGAATCTCCAGAGTGAGAAGTTGCTGTATCAGGACCATTCCCAAGTTGGTCAGAAGTGATCACTGAGCACAGAGCCAAGTACCCACAGTCAGGTGTGGGTAAAAAACAAAAAACAAAACCAAAGCAAAATCATGGATACCTCTCTGGAAATCTATCTTCTATAAGCAAACCCAACTCCCTCCAATTATACCTGACTATAGCCCCCACCTGGATCACTCCAGTGGCCCAACTGTCTACTTCAGGCAATATTAGTCTGGGACAGGCTCCTGTAGTACACTGGCTGGAGAGGAAGGCTCTGGGGATCGCATCTCCCTCACTGCTATCCAGTCCACTGTGATGCCCTTATACCAGTTAGATCCTGTATAGACCCTATTTAAAGCACTCACATTGTAAGCTCCAAAGCCCCAAGGCTCCCTATCTGAAAGCTTTGGGGTTCTGTGGAACTAGTGCCAATTCCTGACACCACTTACCCCACCCCCCCATGATTCCATCTAGGTCAGAACTTCATTTTGTCATTGGGGTGGGAAAATCAGGTTTTCATTTATCTGTGTGAATGCACCAAGAGGGAATCCTAGCCCTTTCACTGGCACACACAGGCTGCACGGGTTTTAATCTCTGTGACCATCCCAACCTCCTGTTTCTTCCCCTCTCTTCTTTGTGCCTTATATAACCCAGCCTCATGACTTCTTGTCATTTAGTCCAACTCTGAGTGAGAGTAGGAGGGATCAGACATTAGACAGTGTGGGAGGGAATGCCTGGATTCCCAGGGGCAACTGGACTCAACACAAATCTCTTTTGTTTTCATTTTGTCATTTTCCTCGCTTAGCAAAGCTATATTAACCTGGTTTACGTTCCCTCCAAGTGATGACAAATTTCAAGAGTCTAAGTTCAGTGCAGACCTTTACACTGAACTGCAGCTGTATATTTGATGCTGTGTGCGCTCACATGCCAGCCCAAGTCTCAAAGGTACTCAACCACTTGAGCAATATCCTTTGTTTTATATATATGTACATATATACACACATATATCACTGTCACTGTCCTTCTGTTGTTCATCGATTTCTCAAGTGGGCCCAGTAACATCTCCATTGTGAGACTTGTTACTGTGTTTGGCATATCAAATACGTCACGGGTCGCTTGCCAGGCTTTGCCGTGCTGGCGAGATACTCTTGGTAGTTTGCCATGCTCTCCAAGAGGGATGGAGGAATCGAACCTGGGCCAACCGTGTCGGCCGCCCTACCTGCTGTGCTATCGCTACAGCCCCATGCACATATATAAGTACATATATATGTACATATATGCATATGAAAAGTTTTCGATTTTGATAATTTGGGGAGACACAGGGCTTACTCTTGGCTGTGTTCAGGCATCCTTCCTGATGATGCTCAGGGGTCATTTTTTTTTGTTTGTTTCCACAGCAGCATTTATTAAAAAATTTTAAAAAAGATTAGCATGGCCCCTGCGCAAGCATTTATCACTAACATAAAAAAAAATTAAAAAGAAAAAAAAATTCACCCTTAGTTCTCCAACGACTCTTATCCCTCCCTCTTGCCCATACAATTCCTGACCCAGTTCCTCAGGGTTAGTTCAAAACTGAACCTGTTCACTGTTGTTTTCACAGAAAACAATCAATGACAAGGATGCAGGGGTAGAAGGTTGGAGAGGGTGACAGTACAGTCCAAATTCCACCAGTTAGGCTTGGTGGAGATTAAGAGAACTCAAACAGAAAGGCTGGTGGCCTCATAATAACACAGTTAAACTGAAGTGGGCTGGCAGGGAGAGAGGGGAGGTCCTCAGAGACTTGTTAGAGAACAATTCTCAGGCCAGTGTCAAACCCAAGACACAGATACTGGGGAAAGGGAGGAACGGGGAGGCAGTCCATTGGAAAGTTTCACAATTCTCCATGTTTCAGGGGTCATTTTTGGTGCCAGGGATCAAACTAGGGTCAGCTGGAAGCAAGGCAAGTGGGCTACCCCAGTGCCTTACCCCTTGTACTATCTCTCTAACCCTTTGATCAATTGTAAGTGTATCATTTTGTGGTATTTAGTCCATTCACATTGTTGTGCAACCCTTACCACCATCCACTTCCAGAATTTAGTGATCTTGTCCAATGGAAATACTGTACCTTTAAAACTCTAAATCCCTGGGCCACATAGATATTATAGGAATTAAGGCACTTGCTTTGCATGTGGCTAATTCTGGTTCAAATCCCCATCACCACATATGGTCCCCTGAGCACAGAACAAGAAATAGCCCCTGACCACTGCTATATGTCTCCAAAATGGCAACAACAGCAAAACACAAAAACACTAAATCCTCATCCCTCTTTGCCTGGGTTTTGTTTTTTCATTTCTTTAAAGAAACCCTGCTATGGGGTTAGAGAGATAATACAGCAGGTAAAAGCACTTGCCTTGCATGCATGGCGTTCAGTGGTCGCCTAAGCCCCACCAGGAGTGATCCTTGAGTGCAGAGGCAGGTGTAAACTCTGAGCATAGCCTATGGCCCCAAAGTAAACATCATCAACAACAAAGTCCAGCAGCCCTTCCACAGAGGGTTTTGTTTTGTTTTGTTTGTTTGCTTTTCCCCTTTAAGTCTTTTGAGGTCCACTCACTCAGGTGAGGAACTCTTTTCTATTTTCTTTTTTTTATACCCTCCATCCTCTTTTCCCTACCTCCAGTTGTTTGCAAGGCAAGTTCTCATTTAATGTAGAATGGATCTTGGAAACTAGGATTTGAAGCAAAATGACTACAAAAAAATTTAAAAAGCCCTCAAATAATACCCTTTTATTGGATTGTCAGTTGTGATTTTTCCCCACTCTGTGACCTTAAAACTAAAGTGTGCTGGTAAAGGGACTTTAGCCCCACATCCTTCCAGGACCTGTAGTAATCCCGGGTCCTCTGAAGCACTTTTCTTTCTTCCTTTGCTTAGTTAGCAACTTTCCAGCTAGTGTCAGAAGTTCTTATGGATTCCTCCTCCAGACAGCATCAGCCCAGCTCACGAAAATTCCCTCACAAATCTTGCAACCTCTCAGAAAAAGCACACAGGGCCATTAGTTGGATGGGTGCTCTTCTACTGACACCTCTTTACTTGGGGTTTCTTCTTGTTTTGTTTATGCCTTTGGATGAAGGGGGTGCTCCCTGCGGTGCTCAAGGGACCACATGTTGCTGGAGACTGAACCCCAGGCCTCCAAATGCGTAGTAGGCACACTAGCTCTTTGTGCTATCTCCCCTCTTCCCTCTAACCATTTTTATTTTTAAAATTTATTTATTTATCTATTTATTGCTTTTTGGGTCACACCCAGCGATGCTTAGGGGTTAGTCGTGGCTCTACACTCAGGAATTACTCCTGGCGGTGCTTGTGGGACAATATGGGATGCTGGGGATCGAACCCAGGTCGGTAGCGTCCGAGGCAAATGCCCTTCCCGCTGTGCTATCGCTCCGGCCCCTCTAACCATTTTTGAAGGGAGTTAAATCTCGTTTCATCCCCAGTGCCCGGCACACAGTTGATGCTCAAAATCTGCTGGCGCCTCCGCACTCCCCCCGACCCCCCCCCCCATCACTCCCTCCTCCTCCCCACCCCCTCACCTCCCCCGGCCCGGGGTGCTTCCGTTCAGGGTCGGACTTTGCCACCTCATCCAGGCTGGCAGGAGGCTTTGCTCTTTGGTTTTGCCTATCTCGGGTCTCCCGCCCAGCCGCGCGGACCGGACCACACACGCCCCGGGTGTGTCGCGCCGTCACGAGGAGCCTCCCAGTCTCCGTACGTCAGTCAGTCCCGTCTCAACACTGGCTGGCACCGAGTTGAGACGTGCGACGCACTTCTCGCACTCCCGGGCGTGGGAATATACAGATTCGGACCTCAGAGCCACGCGGGTGAGAGCCGGGAGGAGGGTAGAAAGTCGGGACGCGCGCGCTTGGGGCACTCGAACACTGGCGCCGCTCACCTTTAAGAATCGTCCCCTTCGCCGCTGGGCCCGGGACCCGGGACGCGGGAGCGCGCCAGGATTGGTCGGTTTGGGTGCGGGTGTTGCTTAGCAGCAGCCAATGAGAACTCGAAGCTCGCGCGTGCGCACCGTCGCCTACCTGCACCCGGCCGCCGCGAGGCCAGGGCCGGCTGCCCCGAGCCGGGTGGGCTCAGGTTACGGTGGCGACGGGTGGTGCCCGTGGCTCGGTGGCGCGGCGGGCGGGCGGCGATTCCCCGGAGCCGCCGTCGGGGTCAGGTGAGGGTGGACCGAGCCGGGCGCTGCGCTGTCCGTTAGCTGAGTGCTCGAGGGGCTGGGTGTGGCGCAGGGCGGGCCTGGAGGTGGAGGCTGTCCCGGGTCCGCTCCGCCCTCAGTCCCAGCCGGGTCCCTCGGAGTTCGGTGGGCTTGGCTGGCGTCCCGTGTGCCCTCCTCTTCCGTGGCTGCACCCCAGGCGCGGGGCGCGCGTGCAGCGGGAACCTCCGGCTGACAGCTGCGCGTCCCGCGCGGCCACCCCGGTGGGAGGAGACGGGGTGTGGCCCAGCCTAAGAGGGGGCGTTTGTTTTAAGGATCACGTCAAACTGTTACTCGGTTCTAATAGCGAACGCTCCGTCGCTTACCGCTTTGATGGACTTGGCTCACCCACTAGTGGGTGCACGGGACCAGCTTTTCTGAACAACCCGGGGGTAGCAGCGGGTGCACATTTATTTAGTCTCTATTCTAGGTTTACGCCGGGACTTTCCAGAGCCAGAGGGTTAAAAAAATAATAATAATAAAAAAAATGAGGAGTGTGAAACTCAAAAAGCCACAATAGAATATTCCCAACTTTGAAGAGTAGTCGGTGAGATTTATATCATAATTAGAAAAAAATACAAAAACAAAATCAAAACCTAGAGCTTAAAGGATGATGGATAGATAAATCTTCATTGAGTTTTAGGAAGGAGTTAATCCTGAGAAGGGTACTTTCAGTAAAGCAAAGCGAAAGTGGTTTAATATTGCTTAATGAGTTAAATTGACGTACTTAGATATAGTTCTGGAAAATACGTTTTGGGCAGTGTCGTTACAGTTCTTAAACAAAATTTGTGTTTACTATGTAGAGGATATTTTGGATTTGGTCTGGACTTTTTTTTTTTTTTTGGCTTTTTGGGTCACACCTGGCGACGCACAGGGGTTACTCCTGGCTCATGCACTCAGAAATTACTTCCAGCCATGCTCAGCGGACCATATGGGATGCTAGAAATTGAAGAATCGACCCCCCCACCACCACCATCCGGTAGGCCTAGGCAAACACTTTACCTGATGTGCTGTTGCTCCGGCCCCCATGGATATTTTTTGTTCTTTGTATGGACCAAAGAGATAAATGCAAATGATGTCAGGAAGGAAAACTGGCTTATTCAAAGTAATGCTGTGAGAAAGAAACAGATGTTCAAGTGTGACTCTGGGTCAGGGCTGCTTCTGTTTACCTGCCTCTGATTAGTTTTAAGTATTAGTCCTCTAGGAGAAAGAATTGTTTAAGAGAAGCAAAAGAATTCTTTTAAGTTGGTAATTGTTATAACAAGAATTGAGAGAATAATGGAAGGATCAAAGGCTTTTGAATATTTGAAGTATAGAAGTTTGGGTTTGAGTCCTGGCTCTTCCACTTGAGCCTTAAGCTGATTTTCCATCTGTTCATTGTAGATTGTGCCTACCTTATAAATAGGAATATTAATTATTAACGAATGTGAAAATATCACTACTGTGCCTAGATGTTAGTTGTTAATGGATTTCAGTTCCTGTTCTTCTTAGTTCCTAACATGGGACAGAATTGAATTCTGCCCTCTTCCCCACCCCGTCCCCAAGGAAACCTTAGGAGCCAGCTCTTATGTCCTGTGGCTGAAGGTGAATCCAGTAAAGATGACATCATCCATTTTTGTCTTCTATATTTGAGTGAGCAGCATGTCTTATGACACATGTTTGAATGTTTGTCTGTCAAAAGCAACTGATTTTGCCTGTTTAAGTTACTGTTTTGCAAAACTTGGTAATTTAATCTTGTTTATTCTCTTTCCCTCTCTTTTGAGGGAGGAGGGTTGTATATGGTAGGGTTTTGTTTTGTTTTGGTTTTTGGATCATACCTGGTGATGTTCAGGGATTAATTCTGCCTCTCTCTGTTCAGGGATCACTCTTGCCAGGGCTTGGAGGACCATATTCGGTGCTGGGGAATCTAACCAAGTCAGAGTCCATGCAAGGCAAATTCCTTAACTGCTGTGCTATCTCCCCAGCCCCTGTTTTGAGGTTTTGGCATATGGTTTAAGGTAAAAGGGAGAGAAGAAAACCATGTATCAGGGGCCTTCAGCTAGACACATTGGCCTTTAGCTGGTAGCACAGGGATAATCTATGACATGAGCAGTTTATAAATAGATGAGCAGTTTATAGATCTGAGAAGAGGATTTGGGAAACAGGGATTAAAGTATGATTTTTATGAAATCTAGTAGTTACTGAGGTTTTTTTTTCCATGCAATTACTACCTTTAATTTCTACTACCTAGAAACTAAATAACATCTATATAACTTTTTTCCCTTTCCAAGATTTATTGCATTACAAAAAAATATTCAAAACATAGACAGTGGAGCAACAGTGGGTAGGGTGCTTGCCTTGCACATGGCTGACCCAGGTTGGATCCATGGCACCCCATGTTGTCCCGCATGTACCACCAGAAATGAGCACAGAGCCAGGAGTAACCCCTGAGCATCAGCGGGTATGATCCCCAAACCAAAACAACAGAAAACGTTGACAATGGCAAAGGATATTGAGAACTGTATTACTTGTTTCTGGAAGCAAAAATTAGGTTCATTCATTTTGCTGCTTAGTAGTTTTTAGTGAGTACTTTATAATGTACTGGCTTGGAGCAAGGTTTTGGTCCATGGAAGTTGCTGGTAAAACCTAGAAGACAGACTTATAGGAATACTTGGTGTGAGCACTCTGAGATGATCTTAGTGTCTGTGTAATCGGTACTATTCTCTCTTGGTGACATGATTTTCCAAATTCATACTATTGCTTTCTTGTTTAAGCTTAATACTAGTTATCTACAAACAGCTTTCATTTTTAATGAATATTGAGATTAATTGAGTTCATTCCAAATTTATTCCAAACCTTTCAGTTTAGAAAGGTCATGTAGTTGTGAGGCTGCATTTGTAAAATATGTTCTTCACCATTCATGCATAAATCATCAGAACTGTGCTTAATTAGCAAAAAAAAAGATTGTTTATTAGTGGAGATATTTCAAAAAGACATTTAAACACAAAAAGCAAGTATGAGCATAATTTAAGTGTTGTATAAAGACCTTAAGATAATGCTTCCCTCGCTCCCCCCACCACACACACTGTTATTCTAAAACAAATATAGTCACAGGAAATTGTCTGCAGTGGTATATACCTGGGGATGTGGCTCACTGGTAAAGCACATGCCTTATATGCATGAGCCCTGAGTCTGAGCCGCAGCAACTAAATAACTAAACTATAATACTATATCAAAATCCAGAAAAAATCAGCATGGTATAAAGTGTCATTTTCCCATGTTATTTTATCATGTGTAGATTTCTGTAATCACTGTTATTAAAGACACAGAATTATTGTCTCCATAAAGATCTTTCTCTTGCTATCTCTTTATATCCACCTTAATGTTTCTAACATCTTTAGCAAACACTAATCAGTTCTGCATCTCTCTATTTAAAATATGGTAATTTTATTCATTTAATTGTTGGAGTTTTGGGCCACACCCTGTTCAGAGGCTTTCCCCAGCTCCTTGCTCAGGCATCACTTGTGTCCATGCTCTCTTGGGACCATATGGTGCTGGAAATTGAACTTAGGTCTCTACGGGTGAAGCAAGCGCTCTAACCCACTGAGCTATCTCTCTGACTCGTATTTTTTAGTTTTGAGTTTGGAGCCATACCACGTGATACTCAGAGGTTGCTTGTGTGATACTCAAGGAACCAAGGAACCATGTGGTGCTTGCACACTTGTGACTGAGCTGCAGTCAGAAATTGCTTATGACACTCAGGGTCAAAATCATTGTGCTGCCAGGATTATTCTTGGTGCACATGGGACAGCAGAGGTTTGGACGCCTGACCATATGCTTGAAAGGCAGGTGCTGTAAGCCATTGCTTTATTTCTCCAAATCCTACAATTAATTTCTATATGTTGATTTTATGTTCTGCAACGTTGTTGAAATCCTTAGTTCTGGGTACTTTTTTTTTTATGACATGTAAGGATTCCCCATGTAATAATGACATCATCTGAAAATAGGTTTTGTTTCTTGATTTCTGATCTATATGCCTTTTTATTGTTATTTTTAATTTTTTGGGCCATACCCAATGATGCTCAGGGGTTACTCTTAGATATGCACTCAGGATCACTTCTGGCAATGCTCAGGAGACCATATGAGATGCCAAGAATGGAATCTGGGTCAGCTTCATGCAAGGCAAATGCCCTATGCCATCCTTGAATCCTGGAATTATTCCCATTTGTTTGTGCTGTGAAATTGTACTTACTGCTGAATTCTAGTTGTGTGGTTGTCAGCCACACCTGGTGGTGCTCAAGGCTTGCTCCTGGCTCTGTGCACAGGACTTATTTCTGGTTCTGTGCTCAGGGATTACTCTTGGAGGTGTTTGGGGAACCATGTGAGATGATGGGGATCAAACCTAGGTCAGCCATGTGCAAGGCAAGTGCCCTACCTACCGTACTATCACTCCAGCCTCTAGTGCTAATATTTTGTTATAGATTTTTACATATAGATTCTTGGTTCTTGCAAAATTCTTGCTAGATTCTATCTTGCACATAGATTCATGGTTTTCTGATTTTCCACTGAATTCTTCTGATTTTGATACAGGGTAAGATTTCATTTTTAAAACCAATTTGGATTTGATCCTTGGGAAGAGGTCATGCATAATTGGTACTAATTTAAAAAGGAAAACAACATTTGGTGGGAGGAATGGGTAGAGGGATCTCTTTGGTTATAGCACCGGAACTTTGATGGTGGGTATGGTGAGTACAGGTACATTTTCCAATCTGTCATAGATTGTTCAGTTTATGTTCTGAACAATATTCTGTCTTAATGTTTATTGATTAATTCTTCTATCCCCACCATTTTGCTACTCAGTTTGTCACTTGAGTTTTTATTTCACTATTTTATTTTTAAATTATGAAATCTTCATAGGCTGGAGCAATAGCACAACGGGTAAGGCGTTTGCCTTGCAAGTGGCCAATATGGCCAACCCGAGTTTGATT